AAAGAACCGAGAATTAAAACGTCTAAAGCAGAGATCCAGCCGGCGGCCACGCAGCCCCGCAGCTCTCTCCAGCCGCATCCCGGGATTCCAGCCCGAATCCCGGTCCGGGCAGAGGTTTCCCTCCCTCTGATTAGCTTCAGCTCCTTCTCTCGTGCAAAACTCTTTCCAAGGAATTCCCAATGCTCCAAACCAAACCAAATAATTCCAAACCGAAATAATTCACCGGGACATTCTCAGTGGGCACCAGACTTCAACAGATCTGGGGGCAGGAAAACATTCGGAGCCAAAGAAATAAACTCTTGAAACTGATTTACTGCTATAAACCAAGAAAATGTTTCAAAGCCTGAAAAGCTCTCAAGAAATAAAAATAATCCGCTGGAAACTCAGGACACGATTAAAACAGAGGTAGCTTTAATGCTGCTTCAGACCGAGGAATCCAAACCGAAGTGAGAAACACAGGGAGAATGATTTATGGGCACCAATTCAGAATAGTACAGTCTTCGTAAAACCCGTGTAAACAACGTACAGCATCTCCGCAGCATCTTCTGAGCGGATGGGGCTTTGGGCAACCTGGTGTAGTGGAGGGTGTCCCTGCCCGTGGCAGGGGGGATGGAGCTGGATGGTCTTTGAGGTCCGTTCCAACCCAAACCATTCCATGATTCTGTGATTTGCTGGTACTCGGTTGGCAATTTCTTCTGATGCTCCATCTCAACAGTTTCAATATAATTACAGAGTCTTTCATTGGATTCTTTACTAAGTGAAATCAGAGAAGTGAAAGGCCTCGAACATCTCTTCTCCGGATGAGGAAACTCTGACAAAATTCATTGAATACCTTCTGATTCATCTCACAACAAAATTATGATGAAGATAAAATTGTTTCTGTGCTGTTCATGCTGCTTCTGACATCAGACAGTTACATGGGTGGCTGCTAAGCCAGCCACAAGATGAGTTTATGTATCTTCAAAATAAGGTTACACTAAAGGCCTTTTGAGTTCAGGGAAATCAGTTAATTAAAAAAAAAAAAAAGTAATAGTGTAGAGAACAGGAAGAAACCAAGCAACAATCTAAAAAATAAATATGTAGAAATCAAGGAAAACAAGAAGAGAACAAAATGTTAAATTTAAAAATAACTGAAATGGTCACACAAAAAATTGTTCCAGTGGTGCAAGAAATGAGAAGGAGCAGTTTATATAGAAAAACAATGTTTAAATCTTTGCTAACAATGAATTCTCCAGATTTTTACAGTACTTGTAATCTAAAAAGTCCTCCATTACTCACGTCAGTTTATTTTATAATTTATTTCCTAGTATACATTATTAACAAAACTTATATAAAAGCAGAAACTAAAAAGTCAGAAAGATATGAAAAAACATCTTATCTGAAGAAACAGATATCTGAATTGGGTTCTAAAACATGTTTCCTAATGAGTGTATCTCATTACTCTGCTCATATAATACCAAATTTTCCAGATAAGAAGTTTGTTTTCCCTTGGGATGTTGTATTCTTTCCATCACTTGACTTTGAAGGCATGTCCATAGTCATATATCTAATTTGAAAACCACCAGCAGTCACTGAGGCATCTGTCAAAAACTTCAAGGTCATAACATTGCCTGGGACAAGAAAAAGAAAAACAAAGGTTATGTTTTCAGGTGGCATAAAAATGTGATATTTCAGATTATTTTTAAAGTGCTCTTTCTTGCTTGTTTCTGAGGTCTTTGGAGCAATCCACCTGGTCTGTCTACCTGAGCTGTGCCCTGGGAGGATTATAGATCCATTATCCCCCTGGAAAACCAGGCAGATTTTCATCGGTTTTCTTTGTTGGCAGAGCCCAGTGGTTGACACAGTTTTGCTGCACCTGGTGCTTTCTGCAAAGCGTTTCCCATCCTTTGAAATGCTGGGAAATGTCACACTTCACGTGTGAGACACTCACACATGGATCTCCAGGCTTGCTCACCGCTGCCATATCACTCTCCCATGAGTGCCACCTGCTCATCTCCACCCGGCCCATGCGAACTGGGAGATGGGGGATGGCACAATTCAGCTTTTCTGGTTTTCTGCCAATGAGAGTTTCTGCACAGACCATCCCTGATCCCCAGGGAACGTGGCTACTTCCCTGCACAGTGACTTTGCAACGCTTGAGAGGTACAAGCGACTTGGGTTTATGTCTTAATGGGACCTTGACCTGCTGTTTAGACAGAATAATATCTACAACCAGGTTTAGAACTGGTCTTGCAGTCCGTGCTCTTGAAATGAGTAAAATTGGTGCATGGAGGTTGTACGCATGGGTAGGACTTGATGATGGATTACAGATCTGTTGTATGAATGTGCCTATGTGAAAATTCCTGAACATGCCTGGGTGTACTGCCTCTGTAAGGCCAGCAGGATGCACTCATGTCATCTTCTGAATAGTCTTCTTTTCTTTTACAGTTAGAAGTACCAGCAGTGATGAACGATGATGCTGGCAGTTGTGGGTTTGTTTGTTTTTTGGTTTGTTTTTTTTTTGTTTTTTGTTTTAAACTGAAAGACGGGAGATTTAGGTTACATATAAGGAAGAAATTTTTCTCTCAGAGGGTAGTGAGGCACTGGGAACAGGTTGCCCAGAGAAGCTGTGGCTGCCCCATCCCTGGAAGTGTTCAAGGCCAGGTTGGATGGGGCTTTGGGCAACCTGGTGTAGTGGAGGGTGTCCCTGCCCATGGCAGGGGGTTGGAACTGGATGGTCTTTGAGGTCCCTTCCAACCCAAACCACTCCATGATTCCATGATTCTATGATTCAATAGCAGTTCTATGACATGCTGGCCATGGAGCAGAGATTGTGTCTTTGAACATCTTTACATTAGAAAGTACGGACAAAAGGTGATTTTGCTGATTTTTTTTTTTTTTTACCATAACGAGTGCAAATATATTACCTGTGCTAATGATATCATCTGGCAATTCATCTCCACAAAACCTGGGAAAAAAATATAAATGGTCATGACTAAATGACACGGCAAATATGACACACCCCCACTTTGTGGGGACCTGCGCTGAACGGTGGCTCTCGGGCTCTACTCTCCTTTGGAGCTGTGGCTCGTGGGGCTAAATTGGTTGTAGGAATTCAGTGTCTGTAACTCTTCTCTATATGTCAAAGTGATTGCCTAAAGGATTTTTGTCATTATTTTATAGTAAGGTTTAGGGGAGGGAAAAATGCAGAAAACATTTTTCAATATATGCAGGAAGTAAATGATGCAAAGCAAGAAAAAGAGCAATTTAGCAAGGCGTTAAGGAAAAGAACAATGGCTCGAGTCTAAGAAAGAAAGAACATTATCAAGAAAAACATTTAAAATTAGCTGTAAAGGCAAAACAAATGGACTATATCCTTGCTTTGCTACACATGATTTGTAGAAAGAATGCGAAAAGTGGCAGGAATTGGGAAGTGTTTTTTGTCACTTTTTCTGGCTTATTTTTTGTTCCTGAAAATTGAGGTATTTCGTACCAAAATATGACTGCTAAAGGACAAGCAAAAATATGACATTGAAGAAAAGAAAGTGAGAATTAAGCAAAGAGGGAAAGTAAATCTACTAAGAGAGATGATATATAACGCTTGTTCTGTTCCGATATTGTTAGAAAACATTTTGCTTTTGTAGAAAATGGTAACTTAAATTAAATACATTTTTGCTAACAGTTTAACACATTACCTCCCTTCTTTCAATTAAAGCAAATACAAAATAATTTGAGAGTGCTTGGAGTTCTTCCTACAAAATAATAGAGGTTTAAGATGAGCAGCTAACTAAAAAGTCTTGCAGCTTTTTTTCATGTAATTTAACGAAGCAGAAAAGGGCACAATTCTCTGAAACTCTTTACAGGCCTGTGTTAATGACAGTAAAGTAAGTTTCCAGGAAATGTAAGTCAGGTACTATTGCTACAAGTATTATGGGCATATCAGAGGTGCTAATTGCATAAGGTAATACAGTATTCTTCTGAAGTAATGTTCTGGGGAAAAAAATTAAATCATTTGATTATTTGCATATTAAAGCTGGAGTTGCTTTACCTGCCCACAAAGCCATTGACATCATCATAGCTATCATAGATTTCCAAGAAATCGGCCATACAAGCAGTGTCGTCTTCAACATCAAACTCTAGAAACTGGAGATGAATACGTTGTCCATACTTTACTCTAATATGCCAGTAGCAAATTTGATCGTTTTCATATTCATTTGGGTATCCTGGTGACTTAAAAACATGTTTTGAATCTGTGAAGACTCCACCACATTCTTTTCCTAAGAGAAAAATAAAAACAAGCGAGTTTAACTGTTCATTCTGGATATGGCTGTGCTTTAAATCTTTGTGGACTTTGACCCAGCAGATCCGTAGAAAACCACACTGGAACACCCAGCATGATAGCACTTGTCATATATTTAAGCACTCAGCATTCACAATAAATGTCAGCTTTTGGGAGCAGATATTTTTGAAGCAAGAGGCATGATCCCAAACTCACTGATTTCAGAGAAAAAGCTTTCATTGACTTCAGTGGACTTTGGGCCAGAGCTCAATGTTTTATGTAAAAGGCAGTTGGGGTTTCTGGCAATGTCAAGCTGTAAGCTTTACAGCTGTACTTGCAAGTCACCCTGGCATTCATTCTTTCTTCTTCAAAAACCTTTTGAAAGTGTGTCTTCTGCAAAAGAACTTAGACAGGCAAGCGATCACACACATTGCATTGCATCCTGTTATTGCTGCAGCTCTTCGCTCCCTTCGGAATGTCTCCTTCGGGATGAAAAACACTCATTCCACAGCCATTTGAACTTTACCAGCTCCCTGACAGTGGGATCAATCAATCTGGGGACCCCACACTGCCTGACTTTAGACTTTGTCCTAGTTCCCCAAGTCCAGACCTGAGGGAGAGGGAGGTACCTTCTAAGGGTGATTCAGGGCACGTGAGTTAGGATCCTTGAGCCGGATAGTGTGATTAACCCTCTCAGTTTGTACGATGTCTGTGAGCCCTGTAATTCTCAGCTCCAAATCATTGCTAGGCTGGATGTACATTGCAAACATGCAAACAGTTCCACAAGTTCCTCTTGACATCTTTAGCATCCTAGAGAAGAGCATAGGCTCAGTTCAATCCAAGATTTGTCTTCGTTTCCCCAGGCTACTTGTTTCCCACCTGCAAACAGGCAACTCCAGCACAAGAAGGACAAGGAGGTGCTGGAGTGGGTCCAGAGGAGGCCACGAAGATGATCTGAGGGCTGGAGCACCTCTGCTATGGGGACAGGCTGAAAGAGTTGGGGCTGTTCAGCCTGGAGAAGAGAAGGCTCCAGGGTGATCTTATAGCAGCCTTCCAGTACTTAAAGGGGCTACAGGAAAGCTGGAGAGGGGCTTTTTACAAGGGTGTGTAGTGATAGGACATGGGGCAATGGATTTAAACTGAAAGAGGGGAGATTTAGATTAGATCTAAGGAAGAAATTCTTCCCTCTGAGGGTGGTGAGGCACTGGCACAGGTTGCCCAGAGAAGCTGTGGCTGCCCCATCCCTGGAAGTGTTCCAGGCCAGGTTGGATGGGGCTTTGGGCAACCTGGTGTAGTGGAGGGTTTCCCTGCCCATGGCAGGGGGGTTGGAACTGGATGATCTTTGAGGTCCTTTCCAACCCAAACCATTCTGTGATTCTATGATTCTAACTCCTGCCCAGCTTTATCTGTTCATTGAGCCAGAGTACATATCCTTTTAATGGGAGAGACTCACGCCATCTGCCAAGTGTTGGCAGTTCTGGTTTCCTTTTGTGCTTTTGGAAAGTAACTGACTCTCGGCCCAGAGGAGAAGGCTGACAAAGGAGAAGGTCGAGCTGACAGTTCACATGCAGTAATGACAAACGTGGTAGCCTCTCTTGCAGTTCTCTTTGTGCACTGAACATCTGCGAGTGTCCCCCACCCCACAGAGCTATTTGATTAACAACTGCTTGACGAACATAAACAAGCCCAAAGCCCTGTGAGCACAAACAAGATGTGCACAGCTGTACAGACGTCACGGAAAACTCCAACTTTTGGCTCTACCAGGCAGGGTAGTACGCTTGGAGTAGCAGGAGAGCCAAGCAGTGCGCAAAGTTGAGCTTTGCTCTTCTTGGCGCCTACTTTTTCTGTCTTCCCTGCTACACGAAGTGATATCAAGCTAAACTGAAACAGTGGCCATGCCAATATTTCAGTCATCTGCAGTGTGGAGAATGGAGGGGAACGGAGAGATGTCCCATATCTGGTGAAATCTTGTCCGTCATGTTTGTACCATGTCCCCAGATCTGCTTTGGAGATCCACTTTTCTCCATCTAGCTACACATGCACGCACACACGCATACAAGGTGCTGCTGGGAGCTGGATCTGTCAGGTGTTTCAGTCCCAGACACAGCATTCATTTTCAAAAGTTGTTCTGTCTCAGGCACAAGGAAGAAGGAACAAAGGTTAACACTAAATTTAGCCTGTTTACAGGCAAAACATCTGGAAAATGGTTCCCAGGTTAAACACCTCAGATTAGTTATTTAAGTGAAATTGTAGGCTAAATGTAAACACTCTTGCACAAAACAAGACATTTGCACATCACCGAAGAGCAACGGGTTGTTTTTAAACACACCGTTAGGGTTGTAGCAGTAGGCATCCCATCTCTCGCTTCTGTTGAGGCGAATCCCATAATCCACAATACCGGTTTTTCCAAAGCCACAGTTGGCTCCAGCTTTTACTATGGGATAACCAACTCTGCCTTTTGCCATCCAGCCAGCAGCACACACGTGGAAACCTGCAACAGGGAGAAAACGAGACACGGATGTGGTAAGTCAATCCCGGGCAAAAAACTCTGCTTTTTATTCAAGTAAGTAAAGTTTTACTCAAGCTGATCAATGACTTCGGTGTAATTGGCCTAATAGAAATCGAACTGCAGGAAAGAACAGTACTTTGAGAGGATAATTTTAAACACAGAATATAAAATCGAATTGTGTTCCCCGCAATATGATTATTGGTTCTTCATTTGAAAACAAAAATTAAATAGAGACGGACTATATAGTTTCCTGGGTAGTGAGTTTTAAGTGCTGTACCAGCATCTGTAACCGAATTACATGTTGGATGAGTTATATAAGTGTGCTCTTTGCTTCCTTTTGGAAGTCATACAAATTTATCTAATTGTATCTCGAGAGTTTGCAACAGTAAGTTCTGAGAGTGAATGAAATACTACATATACAAGACAGCTAAGAAAACAAAGTATTTACTTACAATACTTTCAATTTAAATTTAAATACCTGAAGTGCCTCAAGTATTTCTTGCCAAACAAAAAGATCCTGTTAATGCATTTTGTGGCTGAGAACTTAAAAACAATAGCCAAAGCATGCAATGTTATTCACTGTCTGGTAGAGGCCAATTCCATATTTTCACCGAGACGAACTGGAACATATTTGTGGCGTCCTAGGACTGAAAAGCTTCTCAGAAGAGACAAAAGTACCCTTTTTACATGTGTGCTGGTGCTGAGAGCCAGCTTCTGACTCAACGGCATAGCCTGCAAATTTCTGGAGTGGAGGATATTTTCCATTGTTTTCCTAATGCTCTGAATGAATTTATCATTTCTCGTTAGGAATCAAAGAGAAATACTGCAGAACCCTCACTCAGCTCCGCTTTTCACCCCAAGCACACCACTCACTCTCTCTCACAGCAAATATGGCTGGAATAAACATTATGAAAACGTCCTGGCTGATGATATGAAAAATAGCAACGCACATTTACTATAGAAGCTTCCTGGGAATAAACACCTTCCTCTGCAGCCCCCAGGTGCTGTAGCTGGGGGGGCACCGTTGCTTCCCAGCTCAGCCAGATGGCTCTCCCCTGGGTGCTGCTGGTTCCAGGACCATCCTGCACCCAGAGCTCAGGGATACGTACGCACTGTGTGCAGATCATAGAATCATAGAATCATAGAATCATAGAATGGTTAGGGCTGGAAGGGACCTTCAAAGGTCATCTAGTCCAACCCCCCTGCAAGGAACAGGGATATCTCCAACTAGATCAGGTTGCTCAGGGCCTCGTCCAACCTGGCCTTGAACGTCTCCAGGGATGGAGCATCCACCACCTCTCTGGGCAACCTGTTCCAGTGTTCTACAACTCTCATGGTAAAAAATTTTTTCCTAATATCCAATCTGAATCTACCCTCCCTCTATTTTAAAACCATTACCCCTTGTCCTATCACAACAGGCCCTCCTGAGCAGCCTCTCCCCATCTTTCTTGTAGATGTTATCCCTGACAGCGCTGTAGGTAGCACAGTCACGCTCTGTTACCAAGGGGGGAGGTTGCATGCAACTTGGGCAAAAATCCAGAGCGTTGGCAAGTCTCTGAGTCCCAGAGTTCATAAAATTCATGAAAATACAAGACCGGCAACGTTATGAACGAGCGATGTGAAACGCAAACAGCGGTGATTCTTTTCGAACCTATTTTTCTCGCCGCCTCCAGCTGCTGATACGTGGCCAGATGTCCTCCCTCGTATTCACACACCGCCTTCGCTTCTGCATAGGTGAGCTGGTACTTCCCGGAGCGTGACTCCCTGTGATACACTCCAGCTGCTCGTTCTGTGGGACCAAAGCAAGAAATCATTTCAGCATTGCACCTCGGCTGGCCCACCTTCCGGGGTGCTCTCACCACCTCCACCAGTTTCCCCAAGACCTGCCCTTTGGGCTGCTGGCCAGGTGAGAGGAGAAACAAAATGTTCAGCTAGTAGCTCTGCCACTTGGAAAGCGTCAGGAAAATCTGTGCCTCCCAACCCAAAGGCATGTTTTTGCAACCCAATGGTATGGTTTTGTTTGGGAGAAGTTTTGAACAACAGAGCTAGTCAGAGCTTGGTGAATTTTGGAACAACAGAAAATCAACAAACACAGGGAAGGATTCCCCTGGGACTTCTCAGCAGGCAGTAGTTATGGGAACGATGGGCTGGTGTCAGCATCACTAGTTCTGTGTCTCCTGCCTGACTCGGGGGAAGCTCCTTCTGGATTGCTATCACAGCAGACTTTTGGATGTAACTTTAAGTGCCTTTGTAAGATGAATCAGAGCTTTGTTTTGGATTTCCAGAGAAGTTAAATCAGAGCTACTTGGATAGAGGAGAGGCAGAAATTAAAGGGAATAAAAATGTGAAATAAAAATATCTGAGCTTGTGTCACAAAGGGCAGAACCAGAACAATTGCTGGCTGATGGTTTTGCTTTACAGAAAATTAATACACTTTCTTCGTTATTTTTTTTCTTTGCTGTTGCAAGTACAATATAAAGCAGCTTTCCAGGGAAACCTAGAAACTGCCAGTACTACTACAAGTTTTATAATCTTTTCATGTTGCACTTGTCTGATGCCATATGTGTGGAAATCTGCCCCAGAATCCATCTGCATATCTAATCTGAATGGCATTTTTGTTCAGGTCTTTCTTACATTTAGTATAATCTGAGAGAAATGGTTGTCCGTAGCTATCACTGGTCAACAGGACTAAAAAAAAGATGCAAAAGAGGAAGCATTTTTTACAGTAGTTATTTGTGTCATGGGAAAAAAAGACTGTCTTTTCTAGGGACACACTTAAGAGTCAGTAGTTTTGGCTAGGTTAGGATCTTTTTAGAAAAAACGTGGTCACCACTGAATTGTGGTTAGCAATGGTGAGAACCCTTACTAGATAGAGAATTATGTTTGCCAATGTAGTTTTTGGACCCACAGTCACTGGCCTTGCGCCCAGTAAAGTAAATGATATTGCTGACAACAGTCTCGGAAGACTGAGAGCTGCTTCCTGTAACATTGTGGGAATGTCACTGAAATCGGCATGGGATAACATATATTCCGTGGAAAAATCTTTCTGAAGAAGCCAGTTCCATTGCTATGAGGACTCACAACAACTAACAGCTGTGGAATAATGGTATGCCATGTTCAAAAAAAAAAAATCAATTTTAATTAAAAACTTATTCCTAAGAAGTATTATTTTTCATTCACCCAGTTGTCCGTCATGTCTAACCTGGTAGGTCCCCTCACTGCTTCTTTACAGCACGATTGCATCGGACTCAGCATGCATGAATTGAAAATCTCAGCAGTACAGAAAACAGCACATCATTTAGCCCCACTGCACACCCAGGGGACAACCTGCAGCTGACATTATTGATCGCTGCAGCTCACGGGGAAGGGAACCAAACGGTGAAGTGAAAAACACAAACTAGTCCTTGGGATTAGCTGAGCTGCCCCACTTACACTCAGAGAGAAAGGGCTGCTGAATTGGAAGGTTTGTCACCTTTGCAAAGGGGACCAGTCACAGCCAAAGCAAGAGCAGCCTTAAAGCCCATTTTCAGTGATGTTTGCTGGTAAAAGCCCGTGTCGGTCTGACAGTCACCTTTGCAAGACCCACCCTGTTCCTTCCCTGGAACTGCTGCTGGATGTACCCCCGAGGTTCGAGGGGAACCACCAACTGTTGGGACTCAGCAATCTTGGAATTGACAGTAAAACCTTACCATTTTCAGTTGTTCTCCTGACTTTTTCACCTGGCAATACTGCTTTCAAATCTTATCCCTCAAGAGGTATCTACCCCCACGTGTTGACGCTAAAATGTCAGTATGGATAGGCATCACGTTTTCCAGAATATTGCTGGAAAGACCTGCTCTTCACAGCTTCTGCAAGGGCTGCTCTACCCACAGCAGTGCCACTGAGTCTTCGTGACATGTCTTGGTGGGTGATATTACCCTGCAGAGCGCAATCACCAATCTTTATCTCCGTTACTCCCTTGTAACACGACAAAAATAGCCTTTGGGAAGACAGACCACACACATGTACTCCATTAAGCTTTGAGATTTGATGCTGGTTCAGTGTGCCACAGTTTAACGATACAGTATTCCCTAACAGTACATCCTAATTAACTGATCAGATCTTTCACAAGCATTTTTTTCCCCTCCCTCTTAATTACATTAGGGGCTGTGCAGAAAGATAAACTGCATCAGCCAAACCAGACCTAGGTCAAAGGATTGTACTTAATAACTATTAATACTTGAGAAAAGAAGGTGGGGAGGTAGGGGAAGGGCTCTTTACATTAGTGTTGGGTGATAGAACAAGAGGAAATGGGTATAAGCTTAGTCAGGGGAGATTCAGGTTGGATGTTAGGAAGTATTTCTTCTCTGAAAGGGTTGTCAGCCACTGGAATAGGCTGCCCAGGGAGGTGGTTGAGTCCCCATCCCTGGATGTGTTTAAGAATAGGGTGGATGATCTACTTAGCGGTATGGTTTAATGGGGATTAGGGACGGTTGGACTCAATGATCTCTAAGGTCTTTTCCAACCTAGAAATCTATGAATCTATGAATCTACGAATACATATTTACATATTTGTGTATCTGCAGATGTATACACACCTGTACCCATATTCACAGTCATACACGAACACACACATGCAGGAATAAAAACTAGTCTCCATGGAGGTGATACCATGGCTGTGCAGACAAACCTGCACAAAATGTTATTTTTACTTGCAAGCACAAGCACGTGCCTGCCGCTGTAAATGCACACTGTTCACGTACCCCGGGGCCAGCACTACAGAGCACGATGTGTCCCAGTCTCAGCTGGGCATCTTCTCTGATGGGGGACTCTGCCTGAAGGCTGCTCTCGTTACCTGACCTGTCTGAAATCTGGACAACAACGAGAACTTTCAGCAAAGTTCTTTGTTTCTTTGCCTGAAAAGCTGCGTATTTGGTCTGTTCTCTCAGGGATTTCTCCACCCGCTTTTTTTCTTTGGTTGTTACACAAAAGATCATGGGTTACATGGCTGGCATGTTTCTTCCAACTCACATGTCTTAAAAATCTCTCCTTGAAGCCCAGAGACAGCAGGATCCTGCAAGGACAGTGACCCTCTACTCACCCGCAGCAGCAGGAGACGACAAAATGCAGACAATCTCTTCTGCACAAACACAACAAAAATGAGATTTGGCCTGATATAGTTCCCTGAATATGCATGACACAAATACTAAATAAAAATAAATTAACTTTGAAGCAAAGGTTGGCCACGTAGAGTTACTGGCACAGGCTTCTGCTAACGCGCAGGGTCGTGCTCAGAGTACCCTTACCAAATGGGGTAGGTATGGCCCCTAAACTGGCACACGGTGTGTGAACGGGGAGGAAATCCTGAACGCAGAGAGTGCAGCAGCTGCCCTGGGAAAACTGCTTTGTGGCACTAAGCACTGGCTCTCGAATAAGCATATGAGCGTATTTGGGCAAAACTGCTCCGATCCTCTCATCAGTTTACAATAAACCTTTGGTTATAATGTGCTCACGTCAAAAATGAGCCACAATAAAATTCCATTATACAAGAAGGACATTAATGGGAAGGTGATACAGTCAGCTGCAGCAGGGCTGCCTGCTTACTGAGAACCCAAAAGATGTTTTGTAACAAGAAAAAAGGTAAAAGACATAAACATTTCTAGACTGGCATTAATTGAAGATTTTGTATTTGTGCTAATGATTTGTTGAGGAGTAAAGGTAAAATGGAAAACTCCCTTCATTTTCAGTTTGGTCCTGATAGTCCTTTATTGGAAGAAGAGGAGATAAGCAAAGCTCAGATGTTGCTGCGCATTCCTAGGTTTTATTCAAGGGAGGAGGCTTTGCTTTAATGCTCATGCATACTGAGTATGAGATTGGGGTTACTTGTTTTACTGTCCAAGTTACACTTTTTTAAAAAAATACAAAGTGCATAAATTGAATGGCTGTGATTTTGCTGATTTTTTCTTCATTTATATATAAAGTCACTGAATTCCATTGGTAATTCCATTAACTGCATTTTGAGGTTTGTTTCAATAATTTTATGGCTGCAGTTGCACTACATTTCTAAAGGAGCTTCAACAGAGTCCAGAAGGTGAGAAAGCAGAGTGATTATTTCGAAGCTGCATACTGTGCTTCCAGATTTTTCAGGTGTTTATTTAGAGCAAGTTGTCAGTTTTTACCCCATGGTTTATTTTTACTTTTAGTCTCATGGTAAATGCTAAAGGTGTAGCAAAATGTAATTTTACTATGTTTCTTCATTTTAAAGAATTAGAAACATTTTTCTTCAAATTGACCTCGATTCATAAAACTGCTTAAATGATCACCCTTATCACAAATTTGCATCTACGTTGCAGAAGCCCCTAAAGGCTACACCCAGGGTGGCTGGTTGCAGCAGTCATGTGGCTACGCCAATATTTGCAAACGAAACACCCCGGACCCATTGAGTGCAAGTGGCACGGTGTGTGCCTGACCTTCCTTCCCCAGCATCAGGGTGGTCTCATCCAGGCTGCCTCTTGGGACAGTCCATGGCCCCGCTCTCCCTGCCACTGCACTGGAAGACCACCGGCTGACTGAGAGCAAAACTGTGCCAGGGAACGTGAGAATGGTTAAACCAAAGACAGGAGCTGTGCACGGCACACGTGCTGTTCACTTGTGCAGGGAGAGCCTGTACAAGCTACAGAAAAGCTCATTTTTGGCTCATTGCTCCGACCACATCCCTTCTATACGAGAATGCCCATCACAGCCTGTATCAAATTCAACTTCTCTGCCCCTACTATTAAGGCTTAACAGTTCTCCTCATCTTCTGTGTCTCTTTACTGTTATTCCAGCCAAGAATACAAGCTCTGCTTGTTTCTCTTCTCTGTCATCCTGTATTTGAACAGCAGCCCCTCGAGATGGTGCGTGAAGCTGCCAACCCATCCTCCCTCAGAGCTCTCCCCCACCTGAGCACCTTCAGCCCCTACAGGACGCAGCAGGCAAGTTCCGAGTTTAGAAGGGAAGAGAAGTCATTAAAAATGTGCAGTCAAATGGAAAACAATGTAGATCACTTCTTCTCATTTACATTCCTGTTAGTTTACATGGTCCTCTGGGAAGGGACCCGAGTCATGCGGTCGCTGCACCAGCTAACAGAGCACGGCCCCAATCCCTCATGAAACATCTGAGCCCAACAGAAATGTGTACCGGCTGCAGGAATTCCTTAAAATCCTTAAAGAAATACACAACATCCTAGAAAGGACAAAGGAGTTTGTATTTGTCTATAAAACGGAGCACTCATTGCCTGTTTTTGTTTTGGCATCCTTTATGTGACTATATGCTGGCTATGTTTTTCTGTTGTATTGAATAATTATAAAGATCTATAAGAGAAGTCTAAGAGCTATTTAAACCCACTTGAGGTATAAGAAACTATTCCCACGGCATTTTCTATAGCCCTTTTGAAATCTCCTTTTCACTGTTTAATGATGTGAACAAACCAACAGCCAAAACATAGACATTTCTGCACTTTCCTAGAAACCCAGGAAATATTATCGCTATTATTTCCAGATCATTTAGTTTCATATGTAGGACCCCAGGCATTTGAAGTATGTTCATGCAGAAAGTAATTCATTCCTTTGGCAAATGTTTCTTTTCATACTCGTTTTCCTTCATTAGAAGCAACTGTTATTTAACGCTGTTTTCACTTTACCTCGTGCTGTAGGAAAATACATTCAGATGAAATAATCCCTAACTCCTTTTTCCTGCACTTCAGAGAAACAGCAAAAATAGTAAGCTCATAAGGACAAAACTTACAGTTACTACTCAAATAAAATGATCACCAATTTCGATGCAGGACTTTGCTAGTGTTAATGTATGGCTCAATTTTGTATCTCGAGGTGCTCATCTTTGCACTACATGTTAGGCAAACACAGTGACTTTTTCAGCAAAACATTCATGATTAAGTTATTTCTTACCTAACCAAATAGAGTTATGCAGCACTCCGTCCTTGAATCCCCACGCTTGTGCCTCGTCCCACAGCAGGGCAGAGAAGAAAATTAGTGCAATCATCTCTTCCGAACTATTAGGCTGTAAATATTCCCTGTTAAAACACTCAGGGTAACCTCTGCTAGCAGCTGGCTAGATCCTATTGGAACATCTGGTAGCCAGATCTTAAATAGTGCTTTCAGCTGTGAGGTCAGCAAGCCTGCTCCAATTGTGCTTGCTGTAGTATTATTACACAATTAAATGTGATGTCTGCAGTTGTCCATGTGACTCACTTTTGGCTCTCTTGATTCCCAGAGTGTCCAAGAAACCATTCTATCCCTCACTACTGCAGCACACATGGACACTTTTCAAGCCAAAGTCTGTTCATTCTTCAGCACTCACTGTCTTCAAATTCCATAAAACAATAAAACTAATAACCAGTCTGTCTGCTTATAGCATTTCTAGTCACACCATTCACAAGACCAAAGAGAATCACACACACGCTACCCCTCATTCTCATTTAAACGTTCTCTTCTTTTGCATATAATTTGGATTTAATTTCACAGTGACCTAATCAATGAAAAAACGTAAGGAGAATACTTTGCATTGGCTATTTGAATTCACGGAATCTGTAATTGCAAGTCAGTCTCCCAGATCAGCACAAAACTGCAAGTGTCAAAAACAGATGCTCTTTGTTCTGCAAGTGGGAAATAAAGCTAAAGTCTTCCTCTCCAAACCACAGTCTAAAATCTGATTCATAGCGTGACAGCTGTCTGCTTGTTTTCCCTTCTGGCTGAAAGTGAATACTCCAGCTGCTCCTCGTGGGTGAGTGGGAGAGTAGAAAGGGGGGAAGATGAGAGTATGGAAAATGGTCTGGTGCTCCACACTTCTGAGCAGCCGTCGGAAGACTCCGCTCTCCAGGACTGATAACATTCGTAACTTCTGAGTCAGGAGCTATAGAAAAAGATGTGCTCATGACCATGAACACAATCAAATTAAATGAAAAGGAAAGGGTGGAGGACTCCGTGCCTCCTCAAAAATATTTCACACAGATGACCGTCGTACCGATGAGGAAGATATTCTTCACCCCTCCAGCCTTAACATAAAGTGACGAATGCCTAGCTACGTTGTACACACAGACACGCACACACACTCCTCCCACCTACAACTCCAGCAGATACCGATGGGGAG